ATTTGCACAACGTAGTGCTATATTGAGGTGAAACACGCGCCTAATGGCGAGCGCGGGGTTGTTTACTACTGGGAATTGTGACTTGGTCCGTCCCGTCTGATATTTTACCGCGTAATTGACTGAGTTGTTCTCTTTATCATCATGATTTGGGCTTATTTCCATGTTTGGCTTATTGCCAACTATTTGAATCCTTCGGGGATTGTTATCACTATTTCCTCACTATTTTGATACGTTATTTGAACTCAGTCCTAATGATTATACTGTTTTGCAAACTCAGCCGCTTTAATTGAATTTTTTGAGACTTCAACTATATTTCACTGTTGTTTGGGCTGAGAGCTATTATTTTATTGATGCCCGAGGGGCTTATGATATTTCTGGACTGAGTGAGGCTTTCAGGCCTTGAGTGTGATGTGAGGAGGCTTTCAGGCCTCGAGTGTTATGTGAGGAGGCTTTCAAGCCCCGAGTGTGATATGAGAAGGCTTTCAGGCCTTATGTTGATATAGCGCTTGGGCCGTAAGGGGCCCCTCCTGAGTCTGCACACCCACAGTGAGTGCGGGTACCCATGTGATTTGAGAGTGAGCCCGAGGGGCTGATACTATGCTGTGTGATTGAGAGTGAGCCCGAGGGGCTGATACTATGTTGTGTGATTGAGAGTGAGCCCGAGGGGATGATACTATGCTGTGTGACTGAGATTGAGCCCGAGGGGCTGTTACTGTACTGAGCGGTTGATACAGGGCTCGAGGGGCAGTTTTACTATTCACTATTCATTTACTGATTTACCTGCCTTTAAAAATTGAGATTTCATTTGACTCTTTACGGATTTTTACTGCTTTAATGATTTACTGCATGATATAGATTTGCCTTGTGCTGTTATGTGTTTTCTTACCTTCAGTTATTATTTATTATTATTACTCACTGGGTCGGAGTACTCACATTACTCCCTGCACCATGCGTGCAGATTCAGACATAGCAGAGTCCGCATTCTCCCCAGACCAGACAGCGAGTTGGAGCTTCGAGGTAGCTGTTTGACGTCCGCAGCCCCTTGACTCCCCCATTTTATGTTATTTCAGTTCCTTCAGACTATTGTATCAGATATTCTATCTCTTAGACTTGTAGCAACTCTGTAGTAGCTCATGACTTGTGACACCCCGGTTTGGGCTGTGTCGGGATGGTTTCCTTTGTTATTATCGTTGTTCCGTATTATTGACTATATTAAGCATGTATTAGAAGTGTTAGTGTTATTTAATTGCTTAAAAGAAGTGATTCCGTTGTTCTGGCTGGCCTTGTCTTCACGAGAGGCGCCATCACGGCCGGGTTTGGGATTTGGGCCGTGACAAAACGATAAGAAAGTAGAACAGAAACTCAAAATAAAGGTATTATAAGAGATAGACAAAAACTTAGTAATATTATAAACTTGGTTAAAACTAAGTATAAAACTTAGTTCCAACCTAATTACTTGATACTAAAACCCCAAAACAGGCTAGGGGTAAAACTTTTCAAATATTACTAAATCCCCAAATAGGACCAGGGGTAAACTTCCAAACATTCCACCAATAAAAGAAACGAAACAACACTTCAAACTTTTCAAACATTCACTGTGGGGCAGAATCTAAACCTGTAGGATGAAGAATGGCATCATTAATAGCAGGAGGAACAACTTGAGCGGAAGGAGATTGAACGGCAGCTTCACCAGGAGTAACTTCATCACCCTCGGGAATTCTGACCGCAGGTGAAGGAAAGCTTTGACTCTGTTGGGTTTTCTCAATAGTTTCTTTATTCTTTGCAATCTCAGCAGCTAAGGCAAAACCTTCCCGGCTTGCCTCCATTAAAGTGTCGAGGCGTGTGTTCAAGAAAGCCCAACTAACTTCAACAGCGGCCTTATCTTCAAGGGCTTCATAATCTCTTTCCCACTGCTCAATCTCACTTCTTAGCTCTTCCTTCTCATTCAAGGAAGCATCATAAGAAGCCTGTAAGGGGCAAGTGAACTCTCTAAAAATTGAACTCTGTTAGAAGACACTCGGAGATCTTCTTGAGTTTGGGTTAGCATTTGAACAAGCTCCCCGGCGTAAACTTCTTTCTGGTTCAGTAGTTCCTTCAGACCCCCTAATTTCTTCAGTGGCCTTAGAAAGTTGCTCAGCAAATAAAGACTCAAGAAGATTTTTATCTTTGCCCGCCTGATTGGATGAGGCTTTCTCAACTGCCAGCTCTGCTGCCATTACTTTCACCTGTTGCTCCAAGGTACACTTTTCTTCCTCTAGGATTTCTTTTTCAAGTTGAAGGCCATCGAACTGCTCTTTCCAGTTGTCTTCCTCGATGTGATAATCGTTCATTAACTGCTCTGTGTGGACTATCCTCTTCATCATCTTCGTGCCAATGAGGTTGATCTACACAAAGAAAAGGAAGATGTGATACCAATGAAAAAGAAATCACGTGCAAAATAAAAAGCTAAGGCTTATACATTTAAAGATGAATGTACGATATCATTCATCCACGTTAAAGAACTGTGGCTCTCCAATTTTGACTTCTCAACTGGGCCAATCAATGGTTTTAGCCATACATCAGCTTGGCCAGATTTCTTCAGAAGATTACCATCCTCAGGAACCCAACTTCAGCATGAGAAGTTGTAATAATAGGAACAGTCAAAGGAGTCAAAATAGCCACGGGTGGAGCAGTGGCAGTAGCAACAGAAGCGGGGAATTGAGGACCAACTAGAACAGACACGAGAAAAGAAACAAGAGGCGTTTCTCAGAAACAAAGCCGAAGTCTTCATCAAACCTACGAGAAAAAAGCTGTTCAATAGAACCTTGGGGTGCGGCAGGCATCTCATCATCAGAACTTACTAAGGTAGCACCTTCAGGCTCGTGCATGGGAACAGAACTGGGAGGAGGAGTAGCTTCGTCATCTAAAATAATACGTCTCCTAGCTCGAGACTTACGAACCAACGATCTCTCATCCCGCTCCTCTTCACTCTCGGAACTGTGTGCTCTATCAACTTTTCTTTTTAACGAAGAACTCAAGATTATCTCTTGAGCCATCGACAGAGAGAGTCTCGAAGCAGTAATTGATGCGGCACTCACACCCCGAATGGGAAACCCTAGTAAAGAAAGGGGTTAGTAAGTGCCAAAGTAAGTATGGAAGCAAGGTAGAAAGTGGAAGAGGGAGATACCATGAGTCTTCACTTTCCACCCAAATTTGTTAGAAAGGTATTTCCAGGACCTTTCTACCATAGGAGCAATGGGTAACAATTTTTCCACCCAACCACGGGAATCTGGAATCTCCTCAACAACATCCATGGTTGCTGGAAAAGTAAAGTAAAACATTTATGAGAATTGCAGGTTATTCACAAAAAAGAAGAGAAATAGAAAATCCGAAAAGGAACTTACGTGCAAAATTTCACTTTTCTGGAAAAGGCATGTTCACTTCTCCCACTAACCCACTTGTGGAAGAAGCAATGAATCGAGCATACCAACCACGATCCTTGTCATCTTAAGGGCTCACTATAACCCTCTTACTCCTGGCTACGAGAGTTAACACCCCAGAACGAAATAACTTGGGAGAATAAAGATGAATCAGATGAAAAAAGGTGAAGGGTAAAGAAGCCAAGTTTGACAAGTATCTAAGGCATGCCACAGCCCTCCATACAATAGGACCAATCTGTCCTAAACAAACGTTGAAGAAACGACAAAACTCTATGATGACTGGGTCAATAGGTGATCTATAACCCAACGTAAAGGGATATGTATACACAAAAGAATAACTTGCATTGAACGAGGTGATCCTTTGATTTGCATTGGGAACTAAAATTGGGAAGTCAAATTTCCAATGAAAATATCTCCGCACAAGGGAAATCAAACCCTCAGTAATCTGGGAAGGGTAAACATCAGCACGATCATGAGAAGTCATGGAAGTGACTTGATTTCTAATCCATTCTCTATCAGTAAAGAAGGAAAGTTCAGCGGGAATAATCTCATCAATAGTGGGTTCACGAAGTGGTTCACTAGAATTCCTACTTCTAACAGAAGATCTATGTAAAGAAGAAGCCCTAGTTCTAGAAGACGACGGGGTAGTGGTACTAGGTTGAGAAGAAGAACCACGAATAGAAACAGATCCTAAACTACGTAACCTGCCACCTCTTCTACTTCTGGTAGGAGAAGACGAAGGGGGAAGTTCATCCACTATAACAACTTTATGAGGATCAGGATTTGAAGAAGACATAGTTGTATGAGAAAGTAAAACGTGATGAAGAACGAGAACTACAGAAAGTTTTTCGTAAAAAACAGAGGCAAAGGAGGTATTTATATGAAGAAGCAACCGTCGTGTAAAGGGGTCATGATGGAAACGTCATGATGAAACAGTCACTTCATGACTGATGCAGCCGCAAAAAAGACACTACAAGAAATGTAACGTTTAGCGGCGACTTTAGTCGCTACAAATTCCACGAAAGTCGCCACTAAAGGCGTATAGTAGCGACATTTGGGTTGCTGCAAGCACAACCGTTACTAAATGTTTTTTGGGACTACTATCAAAAGTCGCCACAAAAATCTACAAATTAGTAACGACTTTTGTCGCCACAAATAGTAAATAAATATGCTACAAAAGATTTTCACAAAACAGATTTTCGGGCAGGTCGCCACTAATGAATTTTTTTAGTGGCGACCGTTATCGCTACAAATACTATTGTAGCTTCGGCAGCAGCTCTCCTCGCCATAAATACATGAGCTTTAGCTGCGACTTTAGTTGCCACAAATTCTATTTGTTGTTGTGGCAAAATTCAGTCGCCACTAAAACATATTTTTTCTCAATGGCCAGTATGCTAATACATTCCCACTGTTAAACTAATATTCATAAATTAGTTACATTTATAGTTTCCTCTAACCCATTAACATGCTAATAGATAACTAAAAAACAAACAATCAACTATCAAATAGAATTGCATGAACTTTTTATTGCTAAAAAGTCTAATACAATTAAGATATCCAATACTTCACATTACATTTTTATTGTATATATACAGAATACTAAAAAAATACAAAATGACTTCAAACTACTCTGTTTTCAAACTCATCCTAGTCTTTGTCCATGAATATAGAGGCCATGAATATAGAGGCCCGTTGTTGCAATGCTTGAATATCCTTCTTCTTGATCAACAGCCTTTGCTTTTCCACAGTAAATAATGGACGACTGCACCTCCCATAGTCGGTATAAATTCGAAGTTCTTTCAAATGGATATCACAAACTACCCCGACCTCAGTATTTACATCAACCTGCATAAAACAAAATTGAAGGCACTTATGCAAAATAACCAAAGCAAATGCAGAAGCTCCCGTTTCAAGTGATAATATATAGGAGGCCTAGAGTGTTTAAGAGGGTGCCTAAAGGATGAGACCAGAGAACTTAGTCGAAACCACTAGACAATATCAGTTTGTAAGCCAGAATAAAGGTGCAGTACTATATTCCAATTCAACATCCATATGTTTACAATGGTTGGATAAGAGCATAACTGTAATATATAACAAATCAAAGATATATAGAACTGACATCGCATAGCTGTTTTTCCAGATTACTATGTAATTATATGGCTTTTACCATCCTCCAATATATGCTTCAGACGGTACAAGTAATACCATCCACTCAAAGTTAGTGTAGTTTCTTTCTTACCCTTCTCCTAAGTCGTCTCAGTGTTCTCACTAACATGTCAGGGTCGCGATGAATTCCCACCCAGGTACCATTGACAAAGATCTTTGTAGCCTGTCGAATAACGGCAGGAGAAATTTCCTGGATTTACAGAAAAGCAATGGTGAGCCAAGGAAGACCATATCATCATCACACTTAATAGAGTAAAGAAAATACAGAATAATTAAGCTGACCCACCAACATCCCGACACACTGAGATTTACTCACCTCATAGTTCTCAGTACCCCACTCTTCCAAAAACTCCAAAATTGGATATGCCGCTGAACCAACTGTTATATAAACCATTAAGGCTAGATTCTTCAGCAACCCACACGCCTAATCAGATGACAAGTAGAAACATGTGCATGAATATAGAGGCCATGATCAAATTTCTATAATACCGAGTACATGGATCAATATTAAGACATGAACACAAATATAGATATAATCAGTTCAATCACTTTTAAGAACTAACGAGAGAATCAACTTAAGTAATCCAAATTTTTTTAAAAGGTAGAGATATCAAGAGCATATTGTACCTTGACACACTTCAGTCATATTATTACATCTGCTATGTTTACTACTACAATAATTATGAAGTATATGATAATGTTGATATCGATGCATATACTGAGACTAATGCTTTGTTTACAGATAGGGTCGCATCACATTGATATCAATATCTAAGGGCCAGAGATTTCTCCTGCACATATTGAGATTAGTACACTTTATACTAGTTATATATTAAACTTTTCTCTCTGTACAGTTAATATTCTAAAGCATCTTTAATTTCTCAAAATATTTTTTGTTCAAGTATCAGGCAACTATAATCTACTTTGGAGATAGTATATGTATTACAACTGATATATGAAAAGAAATACTAGATCTGTAGCCTCTGCAACATGTATTCTTGTTACGGCAACTTTAAGACTCCACCATAAGGAACAAAGTGATCAAAAAATCTATCTTTTGTTCACATGGTTCAAGAATTTCAATTACAACCAAATTGTAATATAAGAATTACATTACATGTTTTTAAAGGAGTATGAAAAGTTGGGATCGGGTGCTAATGAGGTTCTTTTTCTTTTCAACATATTCTTTAGTAGCATCCCACATATCATCCTAGCGTTGTAACCCAATTTTTCCTATAATATTTTTGAAATGCATATATACCTTTAAAACTATGCATTAGCATCAATAGGTATTTTCCCATAATTTTTACATCTTTAAATTAATTTATTTCAATATTTTCTTCATATAAATAATTGTAAAATTGCATCGCAAATGAATTTAGAACATGTTTTGATTTAGTATTACTATTATGATCCTATTGAGCCCAAATTATTTCATAAATAGCCAAATTGGCACATTTTGGCTATAATTGCAATAACTTTGCAATTATAGCCCATGCGTATATTTTAGTATTATTTTACTAGAAATTAGACATTTGCAGTTTTAAATACTAAATAACTATTATTAAAATATTTCTATGCGTGAAATTCATTTTTTATAACTAGTAGTTCTTTTACAAATTATTTTTAATCAATTGTTCGGGGTATTTAACAAATAGCCTCTTTTATTTCAATTTTAGCCTAAATCTACCAGCCCAATACCTTATAAAAGCAAACCCAAAACTCCTTTAGGCCCAATCTGCATGTCCCGACCCAATAGCCCCGTTTAATCGTGGTAGTTGATCATTTTGATCAACGGTCCACGATTAAACTTACCATATTAACCCAAACGACCCCCTAAACCCTTTCATTGTCTCTCATTTCCGCCGCCCTTTCGTTCCCTCGACTCTCAAATGCTCTCTAACTTTAACCCTAAATTCCCAAACGTCGTCACTCATCCACCGCCGTCCATGGCAGTTTCTCACCACCCCAGGCCTCCAATGGCCTCTCCTATGCTGGGTACCTCCATCTCTAAAGTCCTCAAGGGACCAGGGTTAGTCCGCTTACGCCTTTGGTTCTTTCTCGCTTGTTTTAGGACATTCTGGTTCGACTTCTAGTGAGGGTTTCTTATTTTCATCTTGAACCTATGGATTTCTAAGTCTATGTTTTCATCTCTGAGTTACTTCTGAAAACCCTAATCTTTCCCTTTGATCTTCTCAGATCTGTACAGATCTGAGATGAATCGAACCTATCTCACATGTTTCCTTGAAAGATTTCTGGTTTTTCAACTGATTTTCCGTTTTTCTAAAGTTAGGGTTTACTGAAAGTCATCTTCTCAAAGGTTTCCTGATTTTTGAATGTTTAATCGTCTGTCCTTATGTGCTTTTGACCGATTCATGTTAAGTTTGCCGAAATCCTAGTCGATTTATGCTAAAACCCTAATTTTCTCATATTTTTCTTCTATTCTAGGTTTTTACGTGTTACTTATTGCATTGTTTCGTTCTGTGCTGTGACTTTCATGATTTCCCCTTAGCCTAATTCAGCGCCTTGTGATTTTTACCCTAGTTTATCTCTATTAGAGATTCTGAGCTAATTTATGGTTAGTTTATGTGTGTTCATGAAATTTTATTTAGCCTATTGGTCTATTTGTGGAAACTGATATTTTCCTCCCCGTAAATCAGTACTACTTTGAATTGTGATTTACTGATTTGCTCTGTTAATACTTATGTGCATAATACCTGATTTATTCCCTTATTTGTGACTTTAATTGGCCTTCTTACCTTATTCTATCACCTGTGATATTTATTAAGTTTTCACGATTATTTTCTTAATTAAACTCCTGCTTATTTACCTCTTTACTTACATCTGATCTGATTTTCCTTCCTTAAATATCTCATGTCCCTTACCGTTGGGTAATTACCCTTAATTAAGGAAAGACTATGCTGATTTTGCGTGTAAATTGATTCTGTGATTTCCTTAATTGCTGAGTGTTGATTCCTTTACCTTTTTCTGCTCTGCTCCTAAACTGCTATATAAACTCTCCTCTATTTCACTTCTAACACACGACCACTAGTTCACAAACACACTTACACTCTAAAGCTCTCTTTTCTTCTCTGCAACTTATGATATTCACTGATCTAGCCGGCTGTAAGCCAAGGCTAGATATTAAACTGCACTTGCTTTACAATTTGTGTTCTCTTCCTTAAACCGGTATGTCTCAATTTAATTTCTGAAACCTAAAACTTTGTGTGTTTCATTACTGTTTTAGTTCATCAGTTATGAGTTCCATTCTTGTTCCTGTTTATTGTCTTGTTTAGCATGCCTAATTCTGTCTTGATCAATATGTAACTAGCATGCCTAAACTATAACTGACTGTTTACTGCTTCATCTAACATGATTAAATCTTGTTTGTTCAATATGTAGTCAGCATGCCTAAACTATGAATGCTTATGTGATGCCTGTGTAGCATGTCTAAAATCCTGTTTTCTCTTCTTTACTGATGAGATTATACCTAATCTCTTGGGGTTTCAATTGATCCTAATTATGTGTAGGATTATGTCTCATACCCTCTGTTTTCAACATGGTTTTGCTACACACCTACTGTCACGACCCTAAACCCAGACCCGGTCGTGATGGCGCCTCTCGTGAAGACAAGGCCAGCCGACACATTTCCAATCCAATTTTTAAGCAATTAAACAATAAGCATTACGTCTAAAACTTGATATAAACACAGAAGTAACAATGACAATACAAAACAATTCGCGGAATACAACCCAACTCAGCCCAATACCGGGGTGTCACTAGTCATGAGCATCTACTAAGGTCTAAATACAACCGACAAAGTCTGTACTAAGTACAGACTAATAGAATAAAGAGGGAGAAAAGCAGTGCTGCGAACGCTGGCAGCTACCTTGCTAAACTCCGGTGACTCCGCCTCAGCTCAGCCAATGCCCGCTACCGGGTGCTGAAGTACCTGAATCTGCACACAAGGTGCAGAGAGTAAAGTGAGTACTCCAACTCAGTAAATAATAATCATAACTAAAGTCTGAATGGTAAGAAATCACGGAAAGTGCATCAACATGTTGTATAGAAGCAGTTCAAAAACCAGTAAGAAAGCAATGAAGCTGTAAAATCCCTTAAAACATCTTAGCTCAGTTTAAACTTCTTTGAAAATGACTTTTTCAACAGTTGCGCAGATGAATGCAGAACAACTAGTGCAGATAAGCACAGAAATCCTCCCCTCGGGCACAAATACACAATTAAGCAGGTAATTGACAGGCAAATAAGTAAGATAAGCACATAGGGTTCGCCCCTCGGGCACAATGTCAACAAATCCGCCCCTCGGGCAATATCTCAGAACAGTACCAACCCCTCGGGCAATCACATAGAACAATACCAGCCCCTCGAGCAATCACATAGAACCATACCAGCCCCTCGGGCTATATCTCACATCAAAATAGGTACCCGCGCTCACTGGGGGTGTGCAGACTCCTAGAGGGGCCCCATATGGCCCAAGCGCAATAACAAGCCATCTCGTGGCATCAAATCTAGGCCCTCGGCCTCATATCAATCAAGCCACCTCGTGGCGTACATATCTCAGGCCCTCGGCCTCAAATCAGTATCAGTGTATCCTCACAACATAGCCCTCGGCCTTACTCAGTCAAAAATCTCAATAAGCCCCTCGGGCCACAGTAAAATATGAAGCTCAGCTCAAATACCTTTGAAAATATCATTTAATGTGTTTAAAACAGAATAATACAGCTGAGTTTTTAAAATAGAAAAATATAGTATGACTGAGCACCAGTATGAAATCAATCACTGAGGAAAATATCATTTAAAAATCCCCTAAGAGTTCAAACAGCTAGCACGAAGCCCACATAAGGCTTTTAGCCCAAATAATAATGATAACAGATAGATTTCAGTCAAATACGCAGTAAAATCATCAATCGGGACGGACAAAGTCACAGTCCCCAATAGTGCACGACCCCACGCTCGTCATCCAGCGTGTGCCTCACCTCAATATAGCACTACGATGTGCAATCCGGGGTTTCAAACCCTCAGAACATCATTTACAATCATTACTCACCTCGAACCGGCTAAATCTCTAGCTCGCGACGCCTTTGCCCTTCAAATTGGCCTCCACGCGTGTCGAATCTATCGAAAATCAGAACGAGGACGTCAAAATATGCTAAGGGAACAAAACCCAAGCAAAAACAATCAATAAAGGGCACAAATCCCGAAATTATCAAAATCCGACCCCCAGGCCCACGTCTCGAAATTCAAAAAATTTTACTCCAATAGGTTCCTTATCTTCCCACGAGTTCATACATACTAAAAATGTCAAAATCCGTCCACAAATGACCCAAATCCCAAATCAAAAGTCCAATTTCTCAAGCCCTAGTTCTTCAATTTTTGGCTTAGTTTTCATGATTTTCTAGGTGGAAT